TTTAACAAGAGGATCTTAGAAAAAGGAACCAAGTCAACTCGCCCACGTCAACCTCCAAGTAAACTCGGCCCCAAGAAATCAAATCGTCCCCACGAAGATACGTTGTGTCCCTTTCTAGAAATGTCCCCCACTTCAGATCGATGTGTCTCGCCTTTTGACACTGGGTTTGGAATATCTAGGTAAGCACGCAGATCTAAACCACAGATAGCTCGAGGCCTACTGTACTTTCTTATGTATTAATATTACTTGTGTTTCTTGATTGCACGACTTAAAATATACTTAGGCCTACTAGCTTAAAAGGAGTTGGGAATTGTATTTCGGTGTTCTCCCAATTTACTGCTAGAAGAGCCCCCTCCCCCTCCAGGATGCAACACTTTGGACTTATTTATATTTAAGCACTGTTATTATTATTCTAATACTTGCGAATGCTTGGGAGATACTTTTTTAATACCTTGTTTAACGCACCTAATTTTTGAAAAAAAAAAAATGGCAAAAAAAGATAAAAAAATAAAATTTTATTTTTTAAATTAGTAAAATTATCTTACCAGAAGTACCTGAGTGGAGGAGGAAAAAAATTAATTTTTACTTGCGAAAAATTGTAGGAATTAGGAAATGAAAGAGGCAGGTAAAATCACGCTAGGACCTAATGTGTGTCTTGATCAATCGTAGGCCTCCACTCTGATTATTGTGATGTTTGCTTCGATCCTTTAAATGCTTTTATATATTTAATTGTGAAAAAAATATCTTTCTGGTAAAATTCTACGGGCAGCTGATGGAATAATTTTTTTTTTCACTTAATTTCCAGTTGTTCATGGCGGCGGGTTCGCTAATTGTCAAATATAAAATTTTATTTTTATTTCAAAATCTTCATTATCGTCTGGCGGCGCGTTTGTGAAACAAGGTATCAAAAAAGTATGGCCTTAGTTGGACCATGGTTGCACAGCACTACAAGTTGCGCTACAATTTGAGGTTTCCAACAAAGCGTCGTTCCTGGTTCGAATTCTAATTCTCTTTAACTTTTAAAATAATAGACCTAGTGTATTATTATAGGATTATTTACGTTATTTATTTCTGCCTTTTATGTGATAACACTTTCAGTAAAAGTACTGGTTTCAAAAGTGGATCACAGATCAATGAAAAAAAAAATCACAAAATATCACTAAAAATTTGAAACATCAATAAGAGTTGTTGTGGTTGAATAATATTTACGAAAATCTGACTGGACAGTATGTAATAGGTTATTCATAGTTATATAATTATGTAATTGTTCATATACAGCTCTTTCAATAATTTTACTAATGAAAAGGCAATACAGAAATTGGTCTATACAGTAATTAAAATTTGTGTTCGTTCGATCCCCTTCTTTAAAAATAGGTTTAACACTAGCCTGACTCCACTCCGAAGGAAATGTGGAATTAAGAATTGATAAATTAAAAATGTAGGCCAGTGAATCCCATATTATTGGAGCAGCAAGTTTTAATAATTTTGTCTAAATCTAAACCACCAAGACCAGTTGCTTTATTATTTGAAAATTTATAAATTTCATCTAATACATAAACAGGTTCCATAAGGTTAGTATTAAAAATGTTAACATTAAAATTATTATAATAATAATATTTACATTTCCTCAACAACAATTTCAAGAAGAGTAATGTTATTAGAAGGTAAATTTTTACAAAATTAATTAGCTAATGAATCATCAATAGATGTGAAAAGTTTATTAAATTAATTTGCAGTTTCCTCATCACTGCTAGACAGTTCACCATTTTTGTAAACTCTTTCAATCTTGGGTTTGTTTTGGGGGATTCGCGAATAGTTTTCAAAATCTTATAGCAGATGAACAGTATTTTCTTGTTATAAGGCTTCTATTAAGATTATTTACTTTGTTTCGTAATTGTTGAGCCTTTTCCCAGCCTTCATGGCTATTTGTTTTGTGAGCTTTTTTGTAGTGATTATACCTATCTTTAGTTGAATCTGAGAAAATCACTCGTCACCACCATAAGGCGTTTACAATATCTCTATTATATTATGGTGTATATACGCTATATCACGTTTTTAGTATATACGTTTTAAGGAAGTTTAATACAGTGTTCGAATAAAAGGGTGTACGGAAAGAATGGCCCCGGAAAAAATGGCCCTGGAAAAAATGGCCCCGGTAAAGATGGCCCCGGTAAAAATGACCCCAAATGACAGGTAGGTAAAAATGGCCAAAATAATAAAATTTTGTATTAAAACTGATTTAAAAAAAATCATTATATGCATTTTTAAAAACTGAAATAATTCAGTTTTTTAAAGAATCTAACATCAAATAAATTGCCATTAACATTTTACTTTTTACAGAAATTACATATTCAATGATAAAATATTCAAAGATAAAAAATAGCCATGAATAACACTTTTTTTCGCATTTTAATGTTAAAAAATAGCAACAACATAATCAATAAATCAACATAAATCATGCATTTATTAATACTAAAATAATTTATTTGTGGCCGATTTCAAGGAAGCGGAATCACAATTTTCCAGAAATTCAATCCGGGTATTGGTAAACCCCACAAACAATTTATAGGAACATCATATTATTATTTTTATTATATATATATATATATATTTTTTTTTATAGAAAAAGTGAGTTCTACAATCGTAATTAAAGGGTTTGGATGGGGTTCGCAGTGTGTTTTGAGGATTGTGGCGTATTTGCAAGTATTTTTTCACAAAAAATTTCAAAATTTTATTAACCAAAAAATAGGTTCTTATAAATATTTAATTTTCTTATTGATATACCAAGTGAGTCAATCACAATTGAATTGTTTGGTTTTCTACAGTGTGTTTTAGGATGTTTTTAGGATTTTGCAATACCATCCTACCATAATTACTTTACCCTCACAATTACACGCCATTTTAATTCTTAGCATAATTGCCATATTTACATAACTATGTATATAATATAGTATCTCAGTTTACATTATTTAGTATAGTTTTAGGCACTTAAATTTACTTGGCAGGGAGTAGAAACCAAGTATGCAATTATATAAGTTGCTTAAATAAATGTATTCCTAATTATTCAGTTTACTTTAAAAACAATATTTGATTAACAAATACTTCTTTGAAGTA